CGCTATCAATGTCAGAAGCGCGCAGTGTTCAAGGTTTGCGTTATAACCAACCAACGTTGTTAGTCCATGCGCATAGTTTGCTAACTAGCAATATAACAGTTTATTACTTAGAATGATCTTCAGTTTTAAGCTTCGCCAGCCACAGAGGACCCATCGATACAATCTGGAGTAGTAATAAAGCATCTACTGTTAAATAACCAACGTGATTTCTGCACGGCCCAAAATATGCATGCGGTTGCTGACGGATATCCCGCAGCCGCCACACATGATTTTGCTGAATGTTTGACGAATGCTTATATTTTCTAGGATGCTGATCCCTTGGAAGCTTGTTTCAGTGAAAAGAAATGGTGTTTTTAGAACCCTCAGTCACCAATTGAATTTGTCTGTTATTCAGTATGAAAAATGCTACTCAGACCTCAAGAAGATTGTCGATCCAGCACTTCATGGTTTGCTTTTTCAGCGCCTATATAGATTATCAACGACTGGCCTACACATGTAAGACGGAGCAGTTGAGGAACCTTAAAAAGCTTTTTGAATGACCAGGATAATGTTGTTTAAAGGCCAGTCAGTTTCCGAAACACCCGCCGGATGCCGACGGGAGGTAGCTGTTCTCATAAGAACCAGAGGCAACCAAAGAGTACCTTGTTGGATCCTCACTTCGGAACTACGAATACACCTTATTTGCGTTTATGCATGCATGCTAAATTCGCCCAACACCCTACAAATCTGTTGCTAGTACGAGGCAGATTATTTCCTATGACCCAAGCATCCCTTTCGCCGCTTGACCAACTGAGGGAGACTGTCAGTTCTGAAACCTTCCTACCTCACTGTAGCTCAGGGGTACCACTAGCAATCATGACAAATGTTTTTGTGGTAGCAGTTTTACGAAGGCATGTATCCATCGTCGACAGCCACCTTTGTCTTCTCTTTCCTAACCACTTGAGGCAATAAAGTGCGTATGCAGATGAGCTTTTGGCCATTTCTTTGACTATCAAGCATTATGGGCATTAATTTGGAGGTGCGGTCTTCACAGTGGCTGTTAAAATCAAACCTTCCTATAAAAGCAATTGGAGCCAGGTATGGATAGTCTCCAGAACGGGAAGTACGGCATAAGGATTTATCTCAGGAGTCCCTTTCGACGTGGGTTATGTTGAAGACAAGAGAAATGACGCAGCCGACACTTCATCCGGCACTCACGTAAACGCTTTGGAGAGTCACCACATTTACATTGTGGAAATGGAAACGTTTTAGGAGATGGTTGAAGATCTTAAGTGTGCAAGAAGCAACAGAAATGCTTGACCACGTCCTGAGGAAGCTCTGCCAAGCAGCCCTCTTGCCGTTACCTGTCATACATACAAGTGAGGCCCACGTCTCCTCGTGTGTCTCTGTCAATGAGGAGACTGCTATTCTCCCTAAATTGATAGACAAATGGACAATCTTATTTTCAAGTTATGAATCCAACACGAGGAACTAGTATACAGGTTTGACGAAATCGATAACAGCCAAGAAGACAAAATTTGAGTTGTACTTGGTAGCATAAGAGCTAGGTCAGTAGGGTTATTATAACATCAGGCGTCCACATAGCATGAACTGAACAGAAACACATCACTTTTTGGCGCACAGATAGCACTTATTAGCCATATCGTTTTCATTTATTTTCCTTACTGGCCATGCTTTGCATAAAGGAGGCCCAACTTTCGACGTCAGTGCTACAAATAGCCAACATGTTTAGCTCACCGGTGTGGTTCAGTATTTCTCCGGATGAGCACCACTATTTGGGGAATTAGCATTTTCCACAGTCATATAATTTAGGACAGCGTATAATTTTAAGCTATTATTCAAGGGCTAAATTTGACAGCTAGTTCGACGTATTTACTTGGAAGAAACTGGGACGGTGCAGAGAAACAGGCGTTGGAAACATTGTCGTTCAGATGGCGATGGCTTTCTCCACCCTCGTGGTAGATCACGGCAAAGTTAATTGCTGAATTCCGTGTCTGGCCAAATGTGAATCGCGACATTTGACAGCGGCCCACAGACTTTGAGCATGACACGGATAAAAAAATGCAGCCATTCATTCTCTAACCTGCCCCCAGATTTCTGAAACCAGACGACGAATTCAACAATATAAATGTCAACATCGGTGCAGGCGAGAAACCACAAGCGTTAGTGGAATCCCATTAGATTTCATGAGATCAAATATCTCTGAACCCGAGTATGAATCCACAGTCAAGCAATTAAAGGCATTGAAACCGCCATTAGCCGTGAAGCAACGGCACACGAGTCGTCTACAACTAGTATTGGTGACGGAAACGCAAAGGTAGGAAGAAGAGTCCACCGGCCGCGTAGTTATGCTTGAACAACGTACTGTCGAAAACGACTGACTGACAAAATCAACGCTGAACCTCATACACAGGTCCATCGCCTCAAAAGGTCACAGTGGTATACGAAGAACGGGTGAATGAAAAAGAGTGATGTCAAAGAAGATAGAGTAGTGTCAGTCGGTTGAGAAGCCGAAGATGAGTGTCAGCGTGAACATTCAAGCCTCAAAGATGCCAAGGGTGGATACGTCTGCGCCATTGTGACCGATTTTCAGACGTGCCAAAAAGAGTCGTCAGCCACTGATTCCTTTCGTCGTGGTAACACCAAACGGGACATCTACGCCTCTTAACACGGCCCAGGTCAAAGGCAAGGGACCTCATCGGTTAATGCTACGCCTTAGTCTGGCTCCCTGAGACATCTTCCCCTAGAATAACATGTCAGGGTGGGCCGTGGCCTGGCATGTGCGGTACATTTCCTGTCCATTTCTGTCCTCTAAGGTCCACAATCTTGACAGTAGATTCGCATATCCTGCCCGGTACCCGTCGCCTGGTCTCGACATTGCTCCCTCTGTGACCCCACTGAATGTGACAGCCTTTGTCGAAACCCCGCAACCCCTTCATTTCTTCTGCTTTTAACGAGCATCTCTAGCAGTTGCTTAAAAGGACAGAAGGGAATGGAGGGCAGCATACTCGAACTTTTATAGTCGATCGGATATCTCCCTAGCCGAAGCCACGGTGATAGAACTTGACGAATGCTAGCAGAGCCTGCTGCAAACGAATCGAGTTTTCGTCAGCAGGTGCTCCTTCGGTCTGATGCAACTTTTGAAGTGAGGGAAGTGGTGGACGTATTCCACTGCATACCACTGTTCGAGGGGCGAAAAAGTAGTGAAGCTCGCGTTACCATCCGAGTCTCAGACTCTACTTAAAAATGCCGCACTTAGCGCCTGACAACATGACATACAGGAGAGTCTCGGGAATGGTCCTCATGCAACCTCGGCAGATGTATAGACCAGATCCTAAATTTTCGTACTCATAGAATACCAACGTACGTATAACCACGAAATAACAAAATAGCGTGGCCGGGTCGAACTGTTGACGAGTTGTGTCAATAAACCAACATGTTTTAATTGACTGGCTGGGGATCACACAGCACACCACACGAGATACCGAATCGCAGAGACACTGAAAGTGTTTCCCCAGCTTAACAAGTCCGTTGAAGCTATGGTAGTCGGTATTGATTTTGAACATCAGACCATGTGTCATTGGCTTAGGTGGAATTATTTTGCGACAACGAAGTCGCAAGAATTTATTTTAGAATCTTTGAGATGAACCCAATATGAGGAGCATCCACAGGTTTGCTGAATCCGCAGCAAATATTAACAGCGAAAAGAGTGACGCTCAACGGTTCAGACAATTCTTTACCCCAAAAATAAGAAATGAAAAATGTATGAAAACATCACAAAGAGGTGCTTGGAGTAAATAACTGCGTGGCTGAATGGCGTACAACGGCATAAACCCAGTAGAAAGTTGCCCTGCATATCTTGGGAATATTTTGAATGCCAGTGAACTCACTTCACCCTTAATCATCACCCTGTATCAGAACAAATCTGCAAAACCACGTCAATTTCAGTTGGTCAATCTGATCATATCTGCAACGGACTAAACACGTCAAAGCACTTAAGAGGAAGGAAGCTTGTTCTTGCTACATACACTTCTGCAGGAATACCTGAAATGGCTGTCAAAATATTGCATGACTTTCGATATCTTGGTCTCACTGCATCAGACTGTATATCACGAAGTTTTTGTGAATTAGTCATTAGATTTTTTATGTGACCCAGTTAGTAATCCTGGTTATTTCATATATTCAATTCCTTACTAGTTAACTGACTATATAAGTTAGATCCCCCCTGATTTCGCTATAAGCTTGACAGAAGACTACTACGGACAGATCGACCAGCTTTTGTTTCTGAAGAGATTTGTTTTGGTTTCACCTTGAACAATGTTGACTGAAATCAGTAAATTCACACCTTCAGCACGTGTTACTTGGTATCGGTAACATTCAGTTTTCATAGTAAGTGGACCAAGTAGTGACGAAGTATAAAAGGCAGCGACCACTGATATGCATAAGAGATGATAATTATAAAAGTGAGCATTTTTATCAAATTCAACGTACATTTTCCATTGTTGATCATTTTAGTCAGATAAGACAGGTCAAAGTGCACTGACATAAGTTTAGGGGCGTAAAGATCAGTATTTTCATAGAAATAAAATTAATGTCATCTCCGCTTTTGGAACTTTATAGGGGATGAAATAGCCTAGGAACAAGTTGGAAATGGATAAATTCCCTTGCCCAAAAGAAACCTACCCTGACATAACGCTTCAGCTGCTGGTATTTCGAGATAAAAGAACTCGTGTTCGCTGAAAAACGTGGAATGAAATGTGACCGTTCGGAAATGTACTGTTTCGTTTAGATGAGACTAGATGACAGTTATAAGGGAAATCAGATAATACAGTATCAGCAATCATTTTCATCCCTAGAAAGGAGACCTAAGAGTACCTAAAAACTCATAAGTGCGGCATGAAAGTGTGATTTTGAAGGATATGCGTCTTTCAAATATATTCTTGTTAGGTAACTATTTAACGTACTCATTGTTTGTATATGTACCTGAAGCCTAAAACAATGACCTCCATATAAGCGCCGTTTGTGAAGGAGGCAAATGTAACCTAGTTTGATTACTTGGTTTAAGTGTCTTCTTTGTCATGTTGTCTCGGCAAGAATTATGTCATATTGTGAGCAAAAGTTTTAAAAAATAGTGTTACATCGATGGAAGCTACTACAGAGGTAACATCTAAGCTTTTTACTGAGGTGAGTCGAGTTCTCGTCATTCTCTTATGAATTAATGAGCTTGGGTTTTGCTTGTTGGTCCCATGTTCTCGAATTCTCGTGCTCATTTTTCTTTCTTGACAGAATAAATGTAGGTCATAGCACAAAAAATCAACTCGCCTGTGAACTAGTAAATATTCTCAAGTATTAATTTTCGTAGATAGTTTTTTACATGTAAAAGTCTGCACTGTGTACCACGTGAATGGATTCAATTTATCCCTATATCTGCATCATGAGTACGTAGGGAGACAAAACCAACACAAGGTTTCAGCCTCAGTGTGTCGGTCCCATTTGCCACACTTCAAATTAGCATTTAAAAAACAAGTAGGTAGGAAATGAGTAATATCAATTTAAAAAATAGGCGTAGAAGGAAAGACAAGATTTTGGAAAGAAGGTTGTTAAAAATATTTGGTCCCTATAAGATGCTCAGGAGTAAATGCATCTGCGCCATTGTGACTGACTTCCAGCCATGTCATCAAGGGCCTCCGACCATTGATTTCTATCATCGTGACGACCCTGATCAGGCAGTCCGCACCTATCTATGCAGCTGAAATCGAATCGGGGACTTTATAGACTGGTACTACTCCTTGGTCAGGCTACTCTGAGCCTTCTCCCGACGCGACCACACTTCAGCTTATGTACCACACCGAGGTAGGCATTAACGGCATGGACAACGTATTTCCTAGTCACCTCAGTCGGTTTAGTTCCAAAACTTCACTGACTGACTTGCCTTCTCAACCTAGTGTACTTCACCCAACCTCGAAATCGCTCACACAATGATTCCATTACATATGAGGAATGCTGCGAAGGAGCCTGTGATCAAAAACTAATTACCTCACATCTTTCAATGTCTGTCTCACAGCTGTGTAATAGGACAGAACAAGTTTAAGCATAGTGTGGTATTACCTTCACAGCCAGGTAATTGGATATCACGCTAGCAAGCTCCAGAGATGATGTTAGTTGGTAAATGTCAAATTAGCCTTCTGTATCCGGCTGAGATTTCGTCAGCAACTAGCCAGTTCGAGCTGGTGCAGCTTCCCAAGTATAGTTATCAGCACGTTCTATCACTTTCTCCTCTGTTCTGAAATCGAGAGTAACTGCGAACTAGTCCGGAAACTTCATCTTACATTTGACAGGCGCAAAACGCATTCCAAACAAACTCATATTCCTTCTCGAGGTTTTAAAAGGACTTCGCATTTTGTCAACGTTTACATCTGACAAGATGATGTCTTCTTTATAGTTCAAGTTAACCAGATGCCCTCCACGGAGTAGGTCGATCGCTGTGAATTCAGATTCCGAGGTTTATGTCCGTTTATACGCTTGTATCGAAAGTAAGCAGTGACTGTTACAGCTGGCATCCTTGGTGGCTACTGTTGTTTCTTGTCAACTTATCATAACTGGTTAGTTGTATAAAGGTTAAACTCAGTCACCTTATACTTGTTTCGGTATTTTGCTAGATAACAAAGCAGCTGATTTAATTTGTAGTATTCTGCATCTGCTTTAGATTCTTAGAAACCTCAAACAACACGTAAGAGTGGTCATCTATTATGGGGCTAGATGGTAAGCAAGGTTATTGGTGAAATAACGGAACAGTTGCTCAGTAGTTTTATGCTTACTGTCACTTATTCTTGTGGTTAGTAAATCCATGTCTCATGCGTTCTGTTTTCTCCGATTAGGACTAATAGCAGGCATCAACCTAACAAGTTTTCATGAGGATTATGTAGACTTCCTACGACGTATTCTATGTTTCTGTAACGGTGTCCCAAGACATCACTGAATTCCTAATAGGTAACTTTTGTTGCGTTACACTCCAAATTATGCCTCCATAACTGGGTAGCATCAGGAGAGTTCACACAAAAGTATAGGTTGTAAACTAGTTCAGAACGATGAACTCGGTTGAATTGCGTCATTATTACTACCTTATGTGTAGAATTTCCAATGCTTTTGAATGAAGTTATGTCTTTGATCCAAGTAGTTTAAACTGAGTTCTGAATGCCTACTGGTAGAAGTGTGTACTCCTGATTTCAATGATGCTCACACTAATTTTCATCCAATGGATTTGCTTGAAATTGTTTATCATTGTCTCTGGATTTATCTTCGGTAGAGTTTAATAAAAGCAATGTTCCTACTTCGTGTTATGACTCACCGGTTGTGGACTCCTTTTAACGCTCTGTTTTAACGAAATTTTATTAACTGAATAAAAGAAATTTAAGAACACACGTATGGAAAAGAAAGTAATATTTTGGTTTTACTTTTCCTTATATGGATGAAGTCATGCAGACATGATTATATACACTTATAAGAAGAAGAATATTAGGTCTGACCATCCATAGTATAAGTACTTACTATAACATCGAACTTTTCAGGCATCTGCAGGTGGAATGACTTGTAGACCCATAATCTACTGCATATAAGTTGAATATCGAAGCCAGTTAAAAACTGCTATGAAAGTGAATTCAAGAGATGAATATTTATCTAAAGCTCCATTAAGTGGGATTTTCATACTTGAGGTATATTCGGATGACCATTTTCTTGAAATATTTACCCATGAGGTTTCTGTCTCATAGATTTTCATGTAGTAGATGGTTCTTTAAGAATTTTTATGACGAACGGTTCCCAAGAGTCAAGGTTCGCAATTCTGATTATCCATTTTTAGAATTAGAAACTACACAACCAGTCAGAAATAAGCAACTGCGGCTGACTGCCATATTGCTTTGGCTGAAGTTACGTCACAACGTAACCGAAAGGCAAGGAAGGGGTAACATGAAGATAAGCATTTGAGTTGTAATAATGATATGATAGATCCCAAAATGCACTATGACACATAAAGAAAAAATCAATAAAAGTAGAGATTTTGAAGTAAGCAAGAAGAACGGTAAAAGTCAAGAGATAGAAGTGAACGAAAGTTATTGAAATATTCGAGGTTACGAGAAATAAAGTTAACTCATCTTCATTATTATGAACAGACGCTATCCATACATAGTGTTTTAATCTTAGATAAAGTGCATTGACGTACATTGATAAAGTCAACAGTCAGTGACAAGAATAAGTACTGTCTTGATTTGCCTAGTCATATTTTTATCAAACTAATACTATTGCACTCATGATATCACGTTGGGGGTAAACTTTAAGTAGACATGTCAATACAAGTTCACTTTTTTTTTTCGTCGATCGTACTTCACAGTGGCACGCACAGAAAAAGTGGATCGAAAACGAATGATATTAAGGTGCAAAAACATGTATGTAAAGAGAAAGAATGAGTAGATGAAGGTTACAACATGTTCAAAACTGAAGATTTCAAGCACTGCATAAAACTGCGCCATCATGACTGATTTCCTGCCATATCACCAGATGTCTTCAACCAATGGTTCCTATCCTGTCAATTTTCTCAACCAGATAGGCTATGTCTCTCGATATGGCTAAAACTTACAGTCAAGGACTTCATGGACTGGTGCCTGCTAGTTTTAAAGTAGAAAAGAACTTGCCCTTTTACAGTAGGATTACATTTGCTACTCTAATTTATAGCTCTTGTGAAGTGGAGTAGACAGCGATGAGTAGGTTAACGTACATGTTCAGCACTGTCCAGCCATAAAGAGATTACAGAAGGTAAAGCCATAACGGTAGAAATTATTGTAGCAGAACATGTTCGTTTACACAGAAATTTAAGTGTACGATTTCTTGTTGTATACGATTTTCAGTTGTGTAACCCAACATCCACACCGATTAGTTTTCACAGTTTGAAAATACTCAAGTTAGAAGTCTTTGTAAACTTTGGTCAGTGAGAGTGTAGGACTAGATACTTAGATGTGTAACTGAAAGTCTATATCATTGTATCTGGTTGTAAGTAATCGAAAATTTGTCCTTTTATACTTGAATATCCTTCCTCTTACATACTTTTCCGACTACAACATTGCTTTTACTTTTTGTTGATTCATGCTAGCTATATTTTTGATAAATATAGTAAATTGGACTAATACAACATAGTGGCACGTTTTGAATTGTTTCTGTCTGCTGCAGCTACTGAAAAAATCATTGAGAAAGTTGTGTAAACACACCTAGAAACTGTCGCGTCACTCAGTGATATATGCTTTTTAATCCAAACCACTAAATCGTAGCTTCAAACTAGTAGGTTGTCATGGTTAGAAGTTCAAATATGCTCTAGTCTTAGGTCTTGAAAAGCAGATGTTACAGTTACGTATGCTGTTATATGTATTTGTTCTTTAGATGTGTATTCAGTGGGATGCTCAAATGACACGTTCTCAGTAGATACTACCAATTTTAGCCTTAGTGTAAAGTAACATCACTTTTTTTTAGTGGTTCTACGATGAAGAAAAATGTCTAGCTCTTAATGTTCATTGATATAAAGGGTAAATTGAAAATTAGTTTATAATACTTACTCCAGAACGTTAGGCATTGAAATATCTAGATTTGTGCATTTCTTAATTCTCGTTTGTTTTGTCTGCAACCCTGGAATGTTAGTAATGGTATGGAATAAATGTGTCGGTATTTGTTTTAAATGCGTTTAATTAGATTATCTATATTTAGCCATGTCTATCTCAGTATGCATAAAAGCCTCATTATTGCCAACATTCTTAATATTGGAAATCTTCACGTACCTTTTTGCAGTAAGTTTTGGTACTTAAGATCTCTACTTTATGTTTCTGTGTAAATGTTTAATTTAATAATACATTCAGTCCTATAGTTTGTATAAAGGTGTACAGTAATATGGTTTAGAGAAGAATAAGGTTTTCATGTATTCGCACCACAGCGATTGGTTCTGAGCCATATCACCGAGTTTACAACCATCAGTTTCGGTTATTTCATAAACTTCCATAAAGGTAACTACGTTTTTCTACATGGCTCAGACTTAAATCAGTGACTTCGCAATTTTATACCGTATTGGTTCGGTTATTCTCAGCTTATATGCAACCTAGTTTCACTCGCGTTAAAATTGCATATTTCGACAGGCGGCGGTTAGGCTTGTGTGGTTACATTTAGCTGGAAGAGCGTTCAGAGTGGCTAAACCGAAACGTGGAACCAGTCAATGAAGACCCTGACTATTTATCTAAGGCGTTTAGGCAGATATAGACTACGTGGCTGGGGTCCCGAAGACAATAAGAATCAGTGACTGAGAACTCCTGGTGAAATAGCTGAAAATCTATCAAAATGGCTCAGATATATTCACTCTTTAACGTCTTCTAAAGTTCCGATATTTGTACTAACCTTTATCTTCGGATTGTTTATTTTCACACAACCTTTTCTAACTTGTTATCAGTCTTTTTCTATCCATTTGTTCTTCGTATGCTATTGTGAAGTGTAGCAACTTGAACGTACGTGTGTGGGATGTTCTAAGTTGATTCTATCTGTCTGTTTGTCTAGGCTGGTGTAAAATATACTTGGGACCCATAAAACGATGGTTCACAACATTAGCTGACTTGCTTTCCTTGCAGAAGGTTGCATGTCTAACTCTCCATCTTTATGTGTTCATCAAACTCGATTCCCTACTGCTGGATATGCTTGCATTTTTATCCATTTCGATTTACTGTCGATAAGTTTCGTTCGCTCTAACTTTATATCGTTTTAGATTATTAACTGTTTAGTCTGATTCTAAATCACTATAAAAAATGACTCAGGCAAACCTATGATATACTTTACTCTTAACCAAAACATGTGTAGGAAAAGCATCCTCTTATTTGTCATGTAACTCCTATTTGAGCCTATGTTTGGCGATGTGTAACGCATATTATCTCGCCATCTAGTAGCTTTACTTTCTAAAATCAATTTCTCATAAATTCCATCATCATCATCATTAATATCAACATAGGACCAGGCATTACTGCGTAACGGTTCAAGTTGCCACAGCTCATATCAGTACATCAAGCAGAAAGGTAGTGAGGTGAAAGATGAAGATAAGCAAATTCATTCAAAAGAAATATAATGTACGAAATTATCTGAACGTATTAAAAAGAAATTCATCAGATACCTGTGTAATTTATTTTAATTTTAAATAGATCTAACCTTGAAACGGATTTACTTGCCTATCGAAAGTATTCTTATAATCCCTATGCATGAATGGATCAAAGAGAATCCAAAAGAAACGTTGGATCCCTGAAATCAACATCTTCTGTTGTTGAACTATCTAGTAGCGGAGGAGACCATACAGCACAATCACTTTCCACAAAAGGTGCGTCAACTGGAACCTATGCACCTGTCAGATCATGTGATGGCTATTCACCACATACATTTTGTTGCCCACTACCACAGACATCTCCGGAATATCCAGCAAGTCTGTCATCAAACTCTTCCCGTTCTGCATTCCTTTCCCGTCAGGCATCTTTTGATCAAGGAGGAGAAGGTCGTCTTTCTTCAACTCAGGTTAGTATACGACTTATTTAGTTTCGATTGTGGTTCAAGCATTGGTTAGAATTTATATATGATTTATGATTCCTTGCTCGGAAATAAGGTTTTGAAACTTGCAAATCCTTTTGATCTGCTGGCGCAAAGCATAATGCGTGAAGTTATGAGTGATTCAGTACCGCAATTTTTTCGGAAACGTAAGTCAGAATTAAAATTTATAAAGTTCAGAATTTCAGTCCAAGTTCTGTTAACAAACGGATCTATCACTTTGCTTCCATGTAGCTTCTACATTTCTGCAACTTGATATATCGATGACCAATTTATTCTGTGCTATAGTCCGTAAGGCAACCAATTGTTTCAGACGCTTTGGAAACCTTAGTTCTTGGTTTCAGGTTTGGTATAGTAGTATGCTTCAAGTCAGAATTTATGGATTCGGTGGAAGAGAGCTGGATTTTTCCTGTTTTCTGTTTCAGGGGATCGCTAGTCTCGACATTTTTCATGAATTTCACGGTTTGCAGCTCACAGTTACTGTATTTTTTTTCCCCGAGTCAGGTTATAAATAAGGTCTAACCGCACAATTTATGTTCATATTTTTCCTGTCTTTCAAGAGCTAGTGAACTGTGTATAATGTATGCTTTGTTCTACTTTCGGCTTCATCTACGTTGTACTGCAATATATCTTTTTGTGTGCTACTGTTGGTTTCAACATCAGAACCATGTTATATCTATGCCGAGTTTTGAACTGAAAAAATTAAAACACAAATGGTTAATCATTCTGTCTGTATACGAAATCATCAGTGGCTTCTGTGGGATGTTTCTGTCATCGGCTATTCATTTGTGTAACTTTCCTCTTTTGAAGTAGGGTACATGATTTGTCTGGTTTGGATTATAAACTGAGCTTTCACACTCAAATTACACAGAAAGTTGACCATTTATCTATCCATATGATTCAGAATGAATAATATGTGTGACAATTAGTCATACTTTTCCGTAACTTCACCCCAAATTGTCAATGAATTTGGTGCTTCTGCTCCCTCTTTCATTTCGTAAGTAAATTGCCATAATTTTTCCTAAACTTTGTTTTCCTTGCGACTCATTTAGCTCACTACAGCCTTATTTTGGTGGAGTTCACTACTAAACAGCAAGTTATGTTGAAAAAAAACTCACATACTACTCATCTCTATAAGTAAATATGGTGATCGCGATGCAATCTGTATTATCTATCAAACCTATAAGCTTACAACAGTACAACTATCGCTCAGTCACTCTATATTCACTCATTTTCTGATGTATTATTTTTCGCTTGTTTATTTTCATGCATGAGAATCGAGGTAAATACAGATGAACCTAAGAAGACAACATCGTATAGTTTTATGTTGATTTAAGTTGAAACCTCTCATATCACCATGATAAAGTGAATCAAGATTTTAAAAAAATAAAATAAATCTGACCATACGAATAGTAGTAAAGATCTGGAAGGCAAGAGAGACAGTCGGAGATAAGAAATAATATGAGTGAAATGGCAAGATATTTAATGTATATAAGGGGATAAAGGCTGAATGCATATTTATCTATAAGTTAACTTACCAATCACGTAAAATTTCATGTATTAAGCAATAAACAATCAAGAATGCCGAGTGAACTTATCTGTAGTTTTCTGGTAGCCTATTTAACAGCAGTACGGTTAAACAAAGAGCATTCTTTAATCGTCTGTTTGACTCCTAACAGACTGCATAACATATCTTCTGTATCATGCTAACACAATAATCACAAACTTCCTATAATTACTAAAAGTAAATTTATGACAAGTCAATTAGTTGAAGCAAAACACTTTCTTGAGTACTGCAGAATTCGAGTAGTGTCAGACTATCGATATATAATGTCACTTGAACCATCAAAAATAGATGAGGTTTCCTACAATAACTTATGGATTGTCATTAACTCCATTGTATGGTACTATGTCAATGCTGTAATTAAATTATGGTTTCCTGTCTCATTGTAGACAGTAATGAGCTTCAGCATGCAGTGACTACCACAACCACCTCCGTTGATGAACTACTCCAGGACTTCGTGCATTCGTCTACCATATCTAACAAAGTACCTCCCAACTACAACACCGATCTCTTAGTAGCCTAATCTAAGATTATGCTAAGTAGAAAACACCAGTGGTCAAACACTGAAGGCTTATTTTACGTCGCATGGCCTTTAACGGTACGTTTCCCATAAAAAAATTAGACTGCACTACATTGTGGAATAAAATCATTTTTGAGAGAAATCTAGACTTTCCTCTGGTAACATCATCATCAATAGCACCAGGCATTAATGAGTAACGGTCCGAGTTGCTACACCTCATATCAGTACATCAAGTAAAAAGGCAGTGAAATGGAAGGTAAGGAAAAGAAAATCGAGCCAAACGAGATATAAAGTACTCAAAGAGAGAGAGAGAAAGAATGAGAAAATGGTAAGATTCGGTACAGCGTCGTTAAGATGAGGATAATGTATGTATACATCCGCGCCACTGACATCGGTTCTCAGCCATATCGCGTAGAGTCTCTAACCACTGGTTCCTCTTGTCCTGCAGACCCCAACCGACTGGTCTGCATCGCTCCTCTGGTAACATTGGGAGTTGGTGAAAATATTTTGACGTTTTATCTTCCTTTAAAGTTTGGGATAAAATTATTGTAAACCTACTACTTGTTTTCCATCTTCGCATTCCCATTAACCCAAATGGCTGTATCTTCTAAAACATTAGTTCCAGATTATAACTATTGGTTAGTATTTTGTGTATCCATCATGTCTTCACAGTATTGCATTCTCGAAAATCGAATCGAAATGCACCCAGCAGCTTTATCTACATTCGTGTAGTAGACAAAGAACCGCACCTATTGTGTAAGGGCTAAATGATACTAATACCTGGGTACCCGAACCTCGGTAGGTGGAACGGGGTTCGAAGTCGTGACCCATTGGTTGAAGATCAGCTCCCTAGGTCGATGAGCCACAACGTCACAGTATCGTAGTCTAGTTTACATAGAATACTTTATAAATATAATGATGAATAAATACGCTTCATTTTGATATCTCTACAATATAACATTCTCCAACGATTACGATCGATATTAAAAACGTTTCTGAAATAAAGAGGACTTTTATCCTTTCAGAGAATTTAGTCATATTGTTAACTGGCCGACTGTTTCTCGTACTGTTTCGCGTCCACTATTTTGGGTGAATATTCACAAAATTAAGGATGTGGAACTTGTTTAGCCAACTCGGTATTAATAGTTTAGGGCACAAGTATTGAAATCGAAAATTGTCTAATTTTAGTTGAATATTTTTGAGATAGCACTGTATCTGAAGTCTGTTTTTATCAGTTGAGTTTGTGTTTTAGGTAGTGTTTCAAATGTTCCTTCTTTTTTGATTTCACTTTTAGGTAAAACAACGTCTTAAGGCTTATTTACTGAATCGTCGACGTGGACGTGTCCTAGCGAACAGGCATTGGAGAACAGATGGCAAAGTACCTGGTTCATCACAAAATCCCTACACGGAGTCAGACTTTGATGAAAATTTAGAACACTCAGAAAGTGATTCAGGTCAACAGGGAATGTGTCATGTAGTCGATCATTGGCACAGTGCTGACTCTCCAGGTTTCAGCGAATGGGATTTAAGTACGTCAGATTATTTTTTGCGTAGTTTTTTTGAATTACTTAAAGCCTGTTTTAATCAAGATGAGGTACCATTGTTAACTATAGAAACAGATGATTTTTGATCTTACACGAAGCAGGGCTTCAAGATTAAACCAATGATCATTCGAAAAATCTGTAGCTATAAATCACGCAGGTGTGAACTTACTAACTTCAGGTGTCATTTAGAAAATAGTATGTGCAACTTTAAAATATTGTGGGATAAAATACAAGTATCGCGTTAGAAAATGAAATCACTGGAAAAGTTTTTTAGTTAACATTCAGTGAAAGAAATGCTTATAAATTCTGTTTACCATCCAAAGTATACCAGAAATCCATGATACTTTTGCTCATCAATGGTTGGTGGGATGAGAGCTATTCCAAGTTTAAATGACAGGTTATAACTTCTGTATGAGCAGTGTCAACTACCAGGCTGTTATGCTGATTCATCTCAGTATTAAATTCTGTTCATTGCTGTCAGTTGGACGGAGGCAATGGGCAGGAAGCCCTGAACCTAGGTTTTGTGCTTGTCGGCACTCGTCAGCAGGGCGCATCTGTAACCTCGATGGAACTGATGTCCCGCCTGGAATTCAAACCCGCGTCACCCAGAGACGTTATCATTGAGCTATTCGGGTGCCGCGGGTTCGAACCTTAGGCGGGACATCATTTCCATCGGGGTTGCATATATGCCTTTCTGACGAGTGCCAACATGCATGAAATCTAGGTCCGGGGCTTTCTGCCTATGTTCAGAAAACATCTATCGAAGTGTACCGCGATACTGAGCTGCCTAGTCTGGTGGCCACATTGTAAAATGATCCATCAGCACTTTGGACTAAGCAGCATGAAGTTGGTTACCCTCCAGTGACCAATCAATGTATCTCCTCATATCTATTTATTGTACTTGTTACAAAAGGTAAACACCATTTTGTATCTGGTTGACCTTCATAATAGGGCAATATATGTTTCAAGTTGACGAGCACGTATAATGTAAGAGGTATATATTGTTCATATACAGATGGCTGACGCATATTGTTTCAACTCTGATCCAATGGAGTATGTCTTGTAGGTGAAAAACACTTATACACATGTTAGTTCATGCATAAAGACGTCAGGAATACCAGTGTCATAACTAAGTAGTGAAGCAGATCACCAATAAATAAATTTATTTTTCATAAATTCAGTGTATCCGTATTTTTGTGGGTGTTATAGACTATTAGTTTTCGATGTCTATTTTAAGCAGCCTGTAATTGATCATTGAGTTTATAATCATTATCATCATCATCATCATCAAAATAATTAATATGAAACTAGGAAAGGAGTAAAACATTCTTATTTTTAGCAATAATATAAACATGTGAGCTGTGAGGGTATGGTATACGCATATTAGTGTGTACATATAGTTTAGTTAATACTACTATTATAATAAAGACATAACATATTTCAATATTTTTAGTATCCTTAGATCATGTGTATTAAGTTCTGCCTAAAAATCATGTGTATAGGACAATACTTTTTCTTTTTTTGAATAAGGAATTACTCAACCATTAATCAGTTTGTTTTTGAGAAGCTTTGTAGAATAAATTAACATTATATCACTTCCCTTGAAACTTCATCATTGAACTCATTAGGATTTCATTTCATCGAAAATGTTGCATAGCTGAAAATGATAACTGATATTGATTGAATGAAACAACCTAATGTAGTTTATAGTGCTTTAATAGTATTCTTCCCAATTTTCAAGAGAAATCACTAAGAAGTTCATCTGTGTATCATCAGATTGTGCATCACATCTGTCACTTGTAACCTGAAGGTAATCAGGCGAACAGAATCTCAGTGAGTTAGGGATGTTTCGAATTTGTGACTTACTACCAGTTTAGTGTTCACTATTTATTGTAGACTAGTTGGATTACGTTCAGTGTGGTCAGACTAAGATTTAACACTAGTCTATAGAGTCCCTGACTGTCAATGTGAGCTGAGTAGGAAGGTGTAGACTACCTGACTAGGGTCTCTGGAGCCAAAAAAAACCACTAGCTGAAGAATATTGTTGACATGGCTGAAAACCAGTCACAGTGGCGTGCGTAGATGCATTCACTGTTTGACGTCTAACGCCCGAATATTTGCACTAAACTTTATCTTCAAATTGTTTCTCCGCCAATACACCTTTGTCTACTTTGATATCAGCCTTTTTCTATCTACTTGTTCTTTGCATACTACTATGAATTGTGACAGCTTGAACCGTTGCACTTGTGTGCATATATATATATATATATATATATATATATATATATATATATATATATATATATGTAATGGAACCCAGATGGGGAACGGCGAGTTGGGCGTCCGAGGTTGACCTGGTGGATATCGTGTGAAGAAGAAATGTGAGCTCCTGGGCAGTCGTGGAGCCAGGTTCAAAAGATTTCAGAGAACAGAGCGAAATGGAGACGTGCTACTGAAGCCCTATGTTCCACTAGGAACCCAAGGGACCGATAATATTATAATAATATATAATGGTTTATTGAAATATGTGAACCACAATGTAGTGTTAGATCGGTATGCTCCTGTAGATCCAGGAATCAAATTTTATTATGATATGCACACACAACGTTTTAGAAAAGTGAACATATCGGTTATGATAGTTGACCATTATTTTGAATAACTTCGTACAAGTTGTATCCAACTTGAAACTTAAATGGATGCCTGTATAGTGATGTATGACATACTACACTTTTTTAAATATCCGTGCCTTAATGGTTGCATTTCTGTTACCTTTTTGTAAATCAGTTAGCGTGTTGTAATAACATTAATGAAAAACTTTATAACATTAATTACTATTTACCCTCTACGGATTCCAATCTTTAATTAATCACTATCAACTTCTTAGCAATGATATAACCATTCAAATTAAAGTTGTTTTTTTCAATACTTTTATAGTTACAGCTTTAAGGTATGCCAAGTACTGTTTGCGTCGTAGCTGATTGGTTTAGGCTCTCCGTTTTCATTCAACAGTCCACAAGTTCGAAACTCTGTTCGCTTACAGAAATTTGCGTACTTAGGTTAAGTATCCTTGACTTTTACGGAATGAGTGTGACTCATTGCACGAACGTGCATATGGTTGCCGGGTTGCATTTTTCTCTCATTTTTATTTGAGTTGCAACGTGATGACACTGATAACAACGCTGATGACTTATCCACTACTGTCAGTCGAAGGTGTAGTAGTAATGATTGAGAGTGGCTAGCAGTGGAATGCTGAATGTACATTTCGTCCTGTTTGAGATTCGTCAGCCATATGTGCCTGCCTCCCAATAAAATAAAAACTATGCCCATCGCACAAGAAGTGGCTATCGTAACTCAGTAGCCTAGTAGGTTTGAAACGACGTTTGAAACGATTGGTTCTGTGTTCGAGTCTTAGTGGGAACAGAATCTGTTGTTGGGAGGCTACATAGGTCCAGGTTATGAGTTCCAAATAGAACGGAATGCGCATCCTGGATTCCGCCGCTAGTTGTTACCCATCACTACTACAAAACTGAAACCACAGGCAATATCCAGGCATCCAAACAGGAGCCCATATGCCAATAGAAATCGATCACTTCAGTCCGACCAAATTACAAGCAATAACATAATCGAGCTTTTGATTCTGTCTACAGAATTCATCTTGCATCGTATTCGCTGCAAAAATTTCATGATATGATACGACAACAGAATATTTATATACATTTTTTCAAGTGTAGAGTTGTAAGGCATTACTGTAGCTTGAAGTATTGGATTAAGATTACCTCATACGCGTTGCAGACTTCATTTCAAATGCCTTTATTATTATCATTATTATGTGTTATTTTCCCCTAAAATATTAATTTTCTTATAGCCAGAGTGTCTACAATTATCATGAACATAGATCATTATCCCTTATCGTCTATTAATTTCTATTGTTTATATTCTGCATGGACGCACATATATAAACAAAAAAACTTCGATAGCGATGACCTTTAAGTCTGTACTGTCGTCTGCTTCGTCTGCACGTACTTACGCATAAATCCATATGTGCACACACGTACACAAGCGAGATCTAAACCATAAAGGGAATTAATTGTCCGCCTTCGTTGATATTCTTTTTTAGTCTTTGCTAGTCTGAAGGTGTACTTTGTCTCATGCTTATACATACTAATGCTATTACTCCAAAAAATAAATGTCATGACTAGATGTAAGTACAATTATGATGCAAACAATGGTTGTTCTGTTTAACAATCCTTTCGTTTTTTGCGTATCTGTGGTCACTAGTTCATTTTCACTTAAGGAAGAGGTGTAGAAGTGAAAGAGAGCAAAAGTCTAACTTTTTATTTGACTTTTATGTTATGCTGGTTGATGATTGAAGGTGAAATGAAAATCTGGACCATGACAAGATTCGGATCTGGAGGTCACTGGTTTGAACAATATTATTCATATTATTACTTGTTATTTCCCGTTGCTGGTTAATTTGAACCAGATTGTTCGATCACTGTTGATATATAGACTCTTTTGTGGTTGTCTCAGTATAGCCCCGTTTATTTCATTTTGATACTTATCATGTCTTGGTGGGCACGCAACACTCGAAGGTAAGTGCATCCACTTGACTAGTCTCAAACACCCTTCTCATATTTCACTGCTTGACCACTGTTGATCCTTAATCTCTGATATCGTTATTGTTATTATTTTCTTTTTGTTGTCTTCCCTTGACTAGCTGGTGTGAAATGTAACAACTTGGAGTGTTACTCAGCTATACCATTTCTTATACTGTTCATAACTTCTGACAATAACTAAGATAGGGGTGTCTTCTGGTTGTAGTCATTTAGTGGGTGACTTTAATGGCCACTGACAACTGCTGAGATAACCAGTTAGGCTTCAGTATTTATGAAAAACTACCTTTCAATTCGGAATACCTGATTGATTAATACAACAGTTACTGAGGTGATCGTTAAAGTTACTCTAAAACGAATGACTTTGAAGGG